CTAAACTTTGATCCCTGAAATTTTTGGGCAATACCAATGTTCACTTTGTCTGGTTTTGTTGCAGCATGCCCCATATAATGATAATAATAAATCGGATGTTTTCGGGTACACGAATTTTCCACGCAAATAGATTATTGGCTACCTTTTTAATGTAATACAATTATTTAAAAGTAAATTGGTTGGTCAATAATAAAGAGTCTGAATTTTACATATAGTAAAATGCCTCAACTTTGAAAGCCAATAATTCCACAAAATTTTATGACAATTAAAAGAGTATAAAGTTGTTGGCTTTCAAAGATCGTCGATTAAAAAATATGAGGGGATTTTTTTTTTCAAAAAATAAAATTGGACACATTCCACAAACTTCCAAACATATTAATTGTTTTGAACAGTTAGTTAAGCTATCCTTTTTTGTACTAATACTATAATTTAAAAACAAAGAGGGAGATTTGGAAACTATCTGCAAAAAAAAATCACTATTCCACGCATTTCTATAAAAACAAAATCATTCACTCAAATACTTCATTTTATTCAAAAAAAAAAAATAATGAGTAAATCATTATATAGCAGTGTTGATTCTTTGGGAGAAGCATCTAGACGTTTCGTTACTTTAATAGCCACGGCAGAAAAAATAATACAACATATTGAGGGTATTTATAAGAATGCACAATATAATAAGAGAATTTGTAATCTATTTTTGGATCGTGTAGATGTTGTTCCAGCTTACATTAAAAAACTAGGACGTAAACAAGAAGAAAATGAACACCTTTTTCGTAATGAAAATTATTACAAACATTTTGTACGTTTTACCAATGTGTTATACGAAATAGAAACATTTCTTAAGGATATTACTCGTCTTGCTGGATACAGTAAATATCGTAATTTCAAAGAGGTGTTTGAAAAACTTACTCGAAATATTGATAATGTTATGAGAAATTTAAACTTTAAAACGACTGTTTCTCCCGAGGAGCAAAAACGAATTGATCAACGAGATCTAGAAATGGATTACGAAGAAATGGAAAAGGTTAAAAATTATTTATATGCATATTATAATCAATATACTTTTGATTATCATTAAATCAATTTCATATCTATATTATATATGTATATATATATCTCTTTTTAAAAAATTTAGTTTTTGGAGTCAATTCAAGGTGGAATTGTTGATGATAACAAACGAATGGACACATCTTTGCAAGAAGTAATTATTATCAAAAATCAGGTAGAGTCAAAAGATAAACAAGATTCTAATGATATTCCTATAATGGCAACTCAAATATCATCAACTATGTTACAAAATCCTATGTATATAAAAATCCGAGGAAAAGAAAAGCAAATTCACAAAAAACTTTTGAATGATGGTGATGATCATAAAGAAGTTGCTTGTCAGCCTATAACAATTCCTGATGAAGTTAGTTTACCGGTTGATTATCGAATTGTTCAGTCACAATTAGCTATTTTGGAAAAATTGCATCATTCAAATAATATATTGAAGTTCTATGGTCTTTCTACAAGTGGTGATGAAACAATTATGGTTCTTGAGTGGGCAGAATTTGGTGGTTTGGATGATGTTTATAATAACTATAAGATTAGTTGGCCTGACAAAGTATCAATAGCTCTTGAAATTTGTCGTGGGATTACATTTATACACTCATGTGACATCCTTCATCATGATATACGTTGTGGAAATATTATGGTAATTGAAAAAACATATTGTGTGTGTACATATATATATATATATATATATATCTAAATAATATTTATTTTAAAAAAATTAGATGAGTAAAGAAATGGAACCAAAGATTGCAAATTTTGATTATGCTCGTAATGTTCAAGATACTACCAGGGAACTGAAAAACATAACAGTTGCTGTTCATTGGTTATCTCCAGAAAAGTTATATGAATCTAAACAATCTTATGATTTTAAATGTGAAATATTTAGGTAAGAAATATGGCTTCATTTTTATTTACCATGTAATATGTTTTTATTTTATTAATATGTATTTTTGTTTTGCAAACAAATTAGCTTTGGGATGTTACTTTGGGAGCTTGGATTTGAAAGAATCCCTTATGAAAAATGGGACATGAAACAAATTAAAGATTATGTATTAAGCTACAAAAGAGAATTGGTTATTTATGATGATTCAGATAAAGAAATGTTAAAACTACAAGAAGAATATTCGAAGATTTTTATGGGTGGTAAGTTTTCAAAATTATAAAATTCTAGGATTTTAATCTTTAGATAAAATAAAAGTATTAATATTGGCATCAATTATTCTATTATCCTGGATAAGCTTGGAAACATGAACCCACATTAAGGACATCTCTTCAAACCATTTTCCTTCAATTGGAAAGTTTGTCCAAAAAATATGGCAAAAGAAATCCAAAAACCACATTTCTAAAAAAAGAAAGTAATCCAGATGGCACTATAGTACGCAGTAAATATTCTGTTTCTGTTAGTGACAGTGAAGAACCGCTAGAAACTAAACAAATTAATAAACCTGATTCAATTACACAAATTCTTCCATTTGGTGAAGGTCTAAATGCACATAAAAGTAAAGAGAGGCAAAAGGCTTGGGAATGCTTTAAAGCTCATGCTGAACTAGGAAATACAGCAGCTAAATATTGGAAAGCATATTATATGGATGAGGGGTATTTTGTCCCTCAAGATAAAGAGAATGCAATTAAATTATATAAAGAAGCTGCTGATGAAGGAAATTGTGATGCTCAATTACGTTATGCATTTTCTTTCGTGGATAATAAAAATATTGATAAAGATTTATTTATTAGGTATCTTACATTATCTGCTGATAATGAAAATCCAACAGCCATATTTAGTTTGGGTGATTTGTATTATAATGGAAAACTTGGAGTTCCTAAAGATGAAAAAAGAGGAATTAAATTTTTGAAATTAGCTGCCTTGCGCAAACAACCAAAAGCCATTAAACGATTAAAAGAATTGAAAATTGATGTTTATAAAAGTTGAAAATTTACATTTAGTATTTATTTATTTATTTATTTATTTATTATTGGTAAACTAAAATTAAAAAAATTAATAAATTTCAATTGATTGAATTATCAATTAATATTAATCAAAGTATTATTTTTATTTCGAAATCGGCGATTCGGCATCACGGTATAATAATAATAATAACCCGAAATAAATTCGATGTCCTAAAGTCGTAAAAGTCATAAATCGTAAAACCGTAAAGCCGTAATTATTTACGGTAAGTATATGTATATACTGTATCATTTATTTTTATAACACAAAAACAAAAAACTATCTCAGTGAAAATTGCTTCAAAATAGAATAATGTCTGCCTACTTCATATTGATTCTTGAAATGGCCCAAAAGTTTTGATTCCTTTATAACCCTTTGCTTCTTTGATTAATATTATTTGTTATTAAACCCATAGAACTCTTTCTATACCTCGGATAACCATTAATGAGAAAGGCTCTCCGCGGTGAGAATTTTTTTTAATAAAAATTTTTTTGAATTATAACGTGGTTATTTATTAAAACACTTAGTTATGTACACATCAAGAATTCAACCTATTTGTGCAGGATTGATTTATTTATAATAATAAAATCACCAACTTAGTAGTAATAGTAGTAGTAATCATGGTAATTGTGGGTGATTGTGGCAATAATAACGGTTCATTATATCCCAATCAATTTGGAATCATGTTATTAACATGAAATACTGTTAATAGAATAAAATAGTTTTATTTATAAAAATAAAAGAATGTATTCTGGACGATGAATGGCCCACTGACGTTCAATGTTATTAAATGATGTGAGGATTTGGCCATACATCAAGGGAAAATCGAATACTTTGCATGTAGGAGTAGGAGGTTAGGGTTCGGATAATAAAAAGAAAAAGAAAAAGAAAAAGAAAAAGAAATATATAAAATAGAAATTTTACAAAAAATATATGGTGCGTGTCCCCATACTCATCAAAAATTTTCATGTAACTTCTAACTGTATCTAGTCTTCCAATTTTTGTCATACAAAAAAACAAGCTCACAACTGAGAACGCAATGCGAGCTTATGGTTTTCGTGTTACAAATCACGCGCGCGAGAACAAAAATTCATTTATTTAAAGTCGGGTTTGGGATTGCATCTTCTTTGCTGCAAAGAGCAAAAAAATGACATCACTCGGGCTAATACAGTAGTCTATTTATTAAATCCAAGACATATAAATAGGACGGCCGTCCCCATTTTTTTTTTGAAAAACTTGAATATTTTCATGCAACAAAATCGGATCTTAATTTTTATTATCATCCTCAAAAAATGATGATTCATTGTTGTTTGCTACTTGTTGCTATAATAATAATGCCTTCTCATAATTGATGGATCTTCATATATTACAAATGTAACCAATCAAATCAATTAACGAATTTTATCTTTTTTTTTTGTTTCCTTCTAAATATTTTAAGTAAAATAAACAATTGACAAAAGAGAGGTCATGTCATGAAAGGTCAATACACCCAGCATGAGCCACCAGCAAGGGTTCCATTCTCTCACTTGCTGGACTTTGATAACACATTTAAGTGAGTCACATGGGTTGCCATTGCATATCTTACCCCAAGAGAGTACTAGTAATGGAAAAATGAGCCTTGCATCAAGTTGTGCATGGGGTATATACAGTTTACAACATTTCATTGGACAAATTCTATTCTATTGAATTTTTATTTTTTTTAATTACACAGGATTACAAATAAAAATTACAGAACGTTTGTCAATTATTCAATAGTCTGTATTGGTGCAATCAAAGTAAGTGTTAAATACAAGATCAAGAAGTTTGTAAATCAAGTTTTTAAAATAAACGTTTTATCAATTATTCAATATTTTGTATAGGAGTGATTGAAATAAGTGTTAAAGTCGAGATCTACGAAGCTTTTTGTAAAATATATTTAATGAATGCTTTATCAATTATTCAATAATCATATAGGCGGGTTTGATCGAAGTAAGTGTTAGACAAGATTTATTTGCAAATCAAGTTTCCAAAACGAACATTTTATTATCCAATAACCATATAGGCGGGTTTGATTGAAGTAAGTGTTAAAGTTGAGATCTACAAAGCTGTTTGTAAAAAATATAATCAACGAACGCTTTATCAATTATTAAATAATCATTATAAGCAGGTTTGATCGAAGTAAGTGTTAAAGTTTGAGGTCTATGAACTTGCAAATTGAGTTTGCAAAACGGACGTTTTATCAATTATTCAATAATTATATGGGCGGGTTTGATCAAAGTAAGTGTTAAAGTCAAGATTTACGAAGCTTGCAATCCAGCTTTGCAAAATGAACATATAGACATGATCAAAGCATTTTGAGTAATAAACAAATAATCAATTCAATTGTTGATTGAATTAAACACACAACGCTTTATAATAATCAATTTAATGGTCAAATAATTAAAAAGTAACTGAATAATAATAAATTCAATTGTAAATGCATAATGCTTTTCTTAAAAGTAAACAAACCAATTTTCAGTAATAACGCATAATGCTTTTCTAAATCAATGGTATGATCCAAAAAAAAACAGGACAAATGATAATTCGTAAATTGTAACAA